ATCAATGAATTGTGAGTAGAGAGGACGTGACAAGTGGGTGTGGCAGGAGTGGTCTGATTTTCTATTTGATAGCTCTAACCAAATAAGATTGGTTTGTCTGAGTAATAACAATTTTATAGAGAGTAATTTACGTTTAATTTGTATATTTTTCAGGGGTGATGGATAAAATAGGGATGATGACAAAGTGTGTCACGTGGGTCACACTAGTGGAAATTTAGGATTTTTTAAATATTCCTTTGTAGAATTAAAAACTTAAAACTTGTATACTATTAAAATATTGATTATTAACTAAGATTTTATGCTATACTAATTGGTATAACATAAACAATAAGTAGTATAATAAAATTTTGAATGTAAGACACTAAAACCTTGTGCCATGCGCAGTAAAAGATATCCGGGGCAAGAGGGTTAATTAATGTAACAAAACTAATCAATTAATCGAAAATAGTTTTTGGGTTATTATTGTTTTCAACTATTCCAACTTTCCATGTAATTGAAATATTGTCCTTATGTTTGTTTTAAGCACAAAGTTATGCAATGGGCTATATGTGCTCTGCCCACCATGGGTTTCAAAACAAAATTTTTAGTTATCTCATGTGAAAATAATCTATTAGTTGAAGATAATGGATTAATGAGTCTGACAATTAACCATTTAGCAACTTCCACTAATCACCCAGTTCTAGTGGTCAACTCACATAGCTAATTTAAACTTACGCAGACTTTATATCTAATTTTTATGGAAACACCCAAGATATTTGATATAAACATTAATGCATACCAGGTTCTGGATGTAGTGGATTAATATCACATTCACTATAATTGAACCCTTGATCCCACAATTCTTTGGCTAATCTAACAGAAACACTTCGCTGTTCAAAAGGAGCTTTCTTCCCCTGCCAGACATACATTTCACTTCCAAAGTCAAATACTAGTATCTGAAAAACAAAGCAACAAGAAGAAGAAAATAAAGATTAAACAAAATCACATTCTTTTATTTATTTTGTTTAAAGAATATATTTTATTCATTTATTACAGTATCAACAAGTAAAACGTTATTATAGATTCTCAATACATTTACTATACATAAAACAAAATAATAAATATAAAATAATCAATATTATATAGATAAAACTAGGCAGGAATAAAAAAGGTGTTTAAATTGCTAAGTATTATACCTGAAACTGCATTATAGGGACGTTTGAAGTGTCTCACAGGCTTTGTTTTTTAGAATATCAGCTTAACTTTTTAAGCAATATTTGCTCTCTTTTAGAGCATAACTGCTGTAAATGTATGACAAATAGAACTGATAAAAGCTTAAGTATTTAACATTGTTTTAGACCATATTAAAGTGTACAATTAACAGTTGTAACAAACTATTTTGTTGAAGTGAATGTTTGTTAAATACCTTACAACACAGGAGTGAATTAAAAGAAAGTCACTAATAGTACTGCTAATCCTTTTTCAATATAACAGGACATTAGTGCAATCAAGGTTTACTAGTGAAAAAGAAAAAAAAATGTTAAAAGGGATAAAATAAGTATGTTTTGGCTCACTATTCAGGATTAGACCCCAATAATAATAATCCTTAGTTAGGGCAAAATATATCTGTTGTTTATGCCTTATTTTAATCAAGTTTTTAATGTCTTTTTGTTTTCCACTGTAAACTATTCCACTATACTCCTCCAGGTGAATATGAAGTTTAACTAAAATTACAAACATCACAGCAATGGTAAGAAACATATTTAATCCTCAGATGTTTTATTATCAGCCATAATGACATACATCAAGAACAGTGAATAAATGTTGATATTTCTGTACAAACTTAGATCACCATCTAAAATTTGCTTCAGAATATCATTATTGAATCATTTTTTGGTTGCATCTCTTAAAAAAAAATTGTTCAATCTAAAACACAAGCTTTATGAATACCTCATCTGGTTTTAGCATCTCGATCCGAGGAAGGTTTCCCCAGAATTCTTCGTAAGGAACTAGTTCATCACCTTCTACTTTGTAGATCATATTAGTGTCAATAATGGCAGCTTCGTATATCTGGAGCGGTAAATATATTCTTTTTTACATAAGCACACATTTTAAACAAATTTAAGAAACTGATTCTCAAGAAATGTTACTTTACATAATAATACAATTCTATTGACAATAACGATAGCAACTTCCATTTGCAGACCTTTCATATAAATAACATAATAAAAACTCGCATGTATATATATGTACATTTTTGTCAAATGATTAACACGGAATAGGTGGATATCAATTTTTGAATCATCTTAATTTCATCAATAGGAATTTTACAAAACAAAGCACAAAAAATTAATATCAATAGAGAACCTCATCCTCTTCTGGTTTTCCAGGAGGTCGACAATTCTTATCAGAAGTTCCCAGATGTCTGAAGAACACATCCAGTTGACTCCTGTTGGGTTTCTTTTCTTCGTCTAAAGTGATTACATCACCAGTTCCCTTGAAACACAGGTCTTTTTTTGCCTGAATTACTGTTGCTACCTCAGCACCCTGATTTAAAAAAAAAATCCTTCTATTATGAACAATAACAGTTTTATTTTAATTTTATATGACTATGGAAAAAATTCTTTTAACCATACAAAGAAACAAGAATCTCTTAATGAAGAAGCAACTGGTGTATTGTTGATTACAAATCAAAACTATTTTTCATAGTGGATGTTTTTTTAAGAAAGTAATACAGTATCTAGAGAGCAATGAAGTTCAGTCTTAGACTAAAAAACATTCACATTATTCCCTGTCATGAAATATAAAAAAGAAGTGTGTGTGTGTAATGATACATCTTCCATATTTAAGGAAAGAGAGAAAAAAAAGAGAAGTTAAACAAGTTGAAGAACATACACATTTACAAAGATGATGTAGTAGTCTAGTTCAGGGTTGTCAATAACACAGCCCAAGAGCCAGGTCTCGCCTGTGAAAGTTTCTACCTGGCCCCAAGAACACAATCTAATCACCCACATATGCCCCATAGTCACATAATAAGTATGCACCTTTGTATCTTGTGACACAGTTAGGATCATTGTATTGTATAATATGGCTCTGAACTAGTAACACAAATTCCCATTCGTTTTGAATGACTACTTCAGCATAAGTCTTTTAAAGACAATCCTTCTCCAACAACATTAGAGGTCATTAATTGTATCAAAATGAATAATTTAAGATTTCAGTTGCCAAAAGAATCATAAAATATATAAAAAACACAGTTAAAAAAACCATTAATAAAAAATTAAACAAAAAGAAACTGTTACAGGATTATATTTACGAAAAGAACAGTAACATTTACCTATTTCAAAAATTATACTAACGTAATAATAATAATAAAAAAAGTCTTATATTTTCAAAATATTCAATGCCTAGCATTCCACTCTCAATTTGAAGAAAAATTATTTCCAAAAGTAACACTGTTATGTTACAAAAATAAATCATTTAAAATATTCACTTGAATGATTTATAATTTTAGTGCCCTGGTCGGATATTCTGTTACAGAAATGTCTTTTTTCTAAATTACTGTACATAAATATTGAATTTTCAGACCCAAAAAGTGCAGATTTTTATGGATA